AAGAGCGACTTAACAGTCAGCAAGGTGAAAGACATGCTTGGAGCATTGAAAATGGCCAATAGAGGCCCTTCAAAGAGAACTAGCAAGGCAATAAATGCAGTAAAGACCTGGATAGAGTGAAGCAGCTCTGTGAGTAGGTGTGGTGGATGCAGAAATGTTGGAATATCTCAGTGAAATTGAGTTTAGAAATTTCAAATTCACTTTGACTTTGCACCAAGATAACTAATAGGGGACAGGATGTGGTTGTGCCGTGGGGTGTAGTAGTGCAGCAGAGATAAAGGTTATTTCCCGTCCCTCTGTAGTGGCAGAGCAGTGCCTGTTACATGTCACATACGGCCCCATGAATCACTCTCAGCCAAGGTGAGTTTAACAGGAACTGGTGATGAAACATATTCTATGTACCACCATATTATGTGACCCACGGAATAGATTATGGTGTAACACCAGTAAGCAGTTAGACCCTCCTACCATTTGGTTATGTGGTGAAGAGAGCTTGGCAGAATTATACTAAAGTGTCAACGACAGTGAGCTGAATTATCAGGCAACCAACAGCACGTGACATAAGGCAAAAGTTTTCACTGTGAACGTAGCCTCCAACTGGTATTAGTACAGTACATCATCTGAAATTGGAATGTCAACTTCATAAATGCAATTCTCTCCAGACATAATAGGAAATCAAACCGACTAGCGCTATTCATCATATAAGCAAGCAAGAAGCCTGCAGGAACACTGGAGGAGCTGCAGAGATCGACACTTAATCTCTTGGCATGAAAACTAGAAGTTGTGGACCTCACAAATTCTGACATTCTGTAGAAAAGGCCTTAATGTAAGCCATAAGAGCCTTTTCTGGTATTTTGCTACATACCATACATAGAACTCAGCAAATACAGGGGAAAAAGGACTTCAGTCTAATGTAACCAAAAGTGAACTTTTTGATCTGCATGAGATATTATTATTGACATAAACATGATTCCATGGGGTAGAATTTCACGAGGTGGTGCAGGGAAGATAGTTGAGTTGATTGGAAAAGAAATTAAGGTAAATAAGGGCCAATTCCAGATAAATTCCAGAGACTGGATTGGGGTAAATCTTTCAGCAGGACTGCAAAACTAGAGATTGCCAGAGCTTCAACAGAATGGTTTTAGATGGACACATACCATACATAGACATATTCCACAGACATATTCCAACCACTCTTTGCAACAAGAATGCATAGCAATTTTAGTATTGCTAAAACTGAAAGTCTTGACTCAAGAGGAGTAAAATATTACTTATTACTTATAATAGTACTGTGTTATTACTTATTATTTTTCTACTTCACAAAATGTGAGTTTGTGCTTGTCTATTCAAAAACATTTCAAAGAAATATGTAGAGATTTGTGGGTGTAATATAATGCCCCTTAACTAATTGTCAAAGTTTTAAATAATCGTGACATTTACCAAACAAGAATAATACAAATCTTAAGTTGATGATCAAGTGTTTGCTCTTCACAAACTATGGAAAAGCAATGATCATTTCTGTTGAAAGAGGGCGGGTGGATGGGGATATATATTTCCAGAAGAATGCCAGTGTATATTTATATCATGTCATTCTAGAAATGTGAGAGACATATTACCATCTTTTAATAGAAACTCTCATCATGCACGGTGGGTGGCCACATTTTTTCCTCGTCTAACCTCTTGTTTCAAATGCTTCTGCAAGAAACAAATGAAGCAGAAATGTGGTTTCCTGAATATTACCGCACAGCATTGCTGTGTGTCAACTTAACAAAGATAGCCACAGGTGATTGAGATTACTGCGAACATGTGGACATTATCTCCTGCAGAAGTAAACCAGCCCCTCCTGGAATGCCTCAAGCTGCACGCCACTACAAAAAGTGCCACAGCATTTTTTTTTGAATTATCATTTTTATGGCTGGTCTATTATAACTTAATAGCTTATTAAATTGTCTGCAATGCTGAGGAGAGACTCATAATAATCCTCATGGATCTCTGGACAGTCATGAAAAGGAGAGTCTATCAGATTTGTTTCATAGACCAAGTAGATTGATCAGACTTTGATGATCCCCCTGAGCTCATTGCTGCCTCAGAATATTGTTCTAATGATTTGCACTTTGCAAAAAGGAGACAAGTATCTCTTATTTTGCAGCTCCTGACAAAGGTTGCTGATGTCATCATGCGAAGAGATGTATGTAGTGGGTGCTTTTATGTATGGAACATTGCTCTTCACCCAGGGTGGCTCTGTGTAGGGAGTGGGATAGATGCCTAGAACTAGGCAAGGGCTGAATGGCAAGGTGAGCAGATAGAGAAATGATAAAATCCTCACATGATCTTGTCCAACCACTCTGAGATACTCTGCTCTGAGCTGCTCCTGGTAGAATAGGGTGCTTGGCAGAAACAATCCGCTGAGTTTATGCTTTCATTAGAACCCGGGGTAACTGCTCTGTCATGCTGTCATGCATCGCTACTTCTCGAAGGCTTCGTTCCTCCACCTCCTTTTACTGCCTGCATCAACCTAAGACCAAACTTGCCACTATGGGGGATAGGGCTTTTCAGGCAGTAGCTCCACGGCTCTGGAATGCCCTTCCAGAGTCCCTGAGAGCCCCACAAGGTGTGGAGGCCTTTAAAAAAGGTCTTAAGACTCACCTTTTTAAACAGGCCTTTTTAGAACGGTAAGTTTTGTTTTAAATTGTAGTTTTAATTGTTAGTTTCAATTGTTAGTTTTGGTACCACTTGGTGCAAGATGTATTACTGTAAGCCCTACAATTTATTCTTTATTTTTATTATTACTATTATTATTATTTTTATCTTTATTTTTTTTATTTTTTATTTTTTTCTTTTAATCTCTGTAGCACTTTGAGATTAAATTGTAGTTTTAATTGTTAGTTGCAATTGCTAGTTTTTGATACCACTCGGTGTAAGATGTATTAATGTAAGCCCTACAATTTAGTCTTTATTTTTTATTATTACTATTATTATTTTTTTATCTATATTTTTTTCTTCTTCTTTTAATCTCTGTAGCACTTTGAGATTTCTTTGAAATATAAGGTGCGTTACAAATAAAATCTATTATTATGCATCACAAATTGTGCTGTGCAGCAATGTTCATTGGTTGCATCTAGGTTCCACTCATGCATCCCAAAAAGTCCTTTTCTTATTACACTTATTTTTTTCTTCTGGTATCTTGATTCAAGCCTAGCTTATGTGTTTCTTTAGCAGTTGTAATGTTTTTCTCCATCATACCTCAAAAATGGACTCAATCGAAATTTTAAATGGGGCAAGGAAGAGGGCTGTACTGTACCTCATGTCGCAGTGCTACTGAGCAAGTTGAAATTGCTGCATTGACTAAACTGGCTTCTATTTGCAATGGGGAGAAAAAAGGAAGGATGACCGAGTTTGTATGAATAAGGTGTCTTGCTGCCTTTAACATCAACCATTTTTAAATTTCTGATTTTGATTGTTAACAGACTTTTACTCTGTTCTATAAATCTTTGGGCATAAGTATCAGAAAATAAACCATTGTTCATGGTAAAGTTCTCCAAAGAACTGTTATTGTTTCTGAGAACTAAAAAAGATGATAAAATTAGGAAAAATGTCTATTATGTTCTGTTACTGGTCTGGTTTATAAAAAATATAATATTCAATTTTTTTTTTTATTAAACCTTGGATTTTGTATTAAAATAAAGCATAAGAAAGTACTAGCATATGTAAATCCCTTTATTGGTCCAATAGTAAATTCACTCTCTGCATTTAACCCATCCCTTTGGGGAGCAGTGGGCTGCCATTGCGCGGCGCCCGGGGAGCACTCTGAGGTTAAGGGTCTTGCTCAGGAACCCAGAGAGGAGGCAGTGGCAATCAAACCAAGTACTTGCAACCTTCTCATAGCACAAGCGCACTGTTCTAGCCACTAACACTCCTGCTGCAAGTCAAAGATGACTAAAATATCTTGTTTAGAAAAAACGTATATATTAGAAATTAAGCATTTTTCACAATATATTTGTGAAATTTCCTTTGTACATTTGTACATTTCCTTTATCCTATTTCATAGGCTTTCAGTCTGTTCAATAAATCATAACATCCATCCATCCATTTTCTGACAAGGGGTGCTGGTGCCTATATCCAGCTGTCTATGGGCAAGAGACAGGGTACACCCTGGACAGGTTGACAGTCCATCGGAGAGCAACACAGACACAAAAAACCATTCACGCACACACTTACACCTAAGGAGAATTTAGAGAAGCCAATTAACCTAACAGTCATGGTTTTCAAATGTGGGAGGAAGCCAGAGTACCCAGAGAGAACCCACTCATGCTCAGGGAGAGCATGCAAACTCCATGCAGAAAGACTCCAGGCCAGGAATCAAACCCAGAACCTTCTTGCTGCAAGGCAGCAGTGCTACCCACTGCCCCACTGAGCAGCACTAAATCATAACATAAAAAGAGAGAAAAAAATCCTTTACAAATATACAAGTTGATTCTTCCATGCCATAAATGATTATGGAGTGCCTTTCAATCAGTCATTGCTCATGATTTAAAGTAAAATGATTTAAAATACAACACTAGTGTACTTGTAATGATTGAAATGTATTGTATAAAATATCATCTATCTATCTATCTATCTATCTATCTATCTATCTATCTATCTATCTATCTATCTATCTATCTATCTATCTATCTATCTCCAGTAGCCATGAATGCATCCTGTTGGTTGATATAAACATAGTTAAACGGCTCTCTTGCAAAGCAAAAGCAGACGCTTCTCGGCGCCACTTTAAACCACCAGCAGTTCAAAATTTTGAATCGGTACTGAACTCAACTTCCTCGTTCTGCTGCTGCTTATATAGCTCTCTAAAAATAGTGCACCAACCCTACCAGGGAGGGCTGAGCCAAATCCCTCAGCATTGGTCAAAGGAAGGTTGTAGGCGGGCCCTGCGCTCTGCAAACCGATTGGTTCGCGTACCAAACGTAATGTAATCACATGGGGGTGAGTTTGTCTGTAATTTTGAATCGGGGGGGAAGTTTACAGTGCGCTGACAGACTTTTGAGTGAGTTCAGTGTGGTGCGCTCCTCGGTGCGTCACAAACTCAGACCGTCAGCAGTGGAACAGCGCATCTATCCAAAGGCTGTCATACATGCACATACAGCAGAGTGTCCACTTTCCTTCCGAATACAACATCCTTCTTTACTCGCTTTACTTCGCTTCTTGCTTCGGCTAAGACTCGGGAGTGAAATGGATGTCATACCGATGTGCAGCATCTTCCAGGAGCTCCAGATTGTGCACGACACGGGATACTTTTCCGCTTTACCTTCTCTGGAAGAATACTGGCAGCAGGTAAGGAGACAGCACAGCTTAGTTGAAGTGGAAGTGCTTAACAAGGAGCGCAGGGTATGTGCCTAATTTGATTTGGGGACAGCATGGTTGCGGTGACAGCTGCGTGTCTCTGTCAAAAGTAGACTTTTAGAGAAGTCCTGCAGTTCCCTCAGTGGCACTTCACTTTAACTGTAAAATAAGCAATTTAATAGTATTTTACAGATTGGAAGAGTGGCTATAAAAAGATAACCAAACAAATAATTAATAAAAAAAAACCAAATCGTGTAACTTTTAAAACTGCATTTCTTGCTATGTGCAACATTTGCGCGTTTGTGTGTTTTTTTTTTTTTTGCTCCGTTACAACAAGCTGTCTGTTTTTCTTGCTACGGTTGCAGATGCAAATATTTATGTAGATGATTTAAACTCATAGGCAAGCGATAAAATGGAAATACGCTGTGCTGCTGATAGAGCGCTGGAATGGCGAGGGTAGTCTTTCCGCGCACCCCCTCCTCCTCCTGTTACGCCCCCTGTGTCTCCCCCTCTCTCTCTTTTCTCTCTTTCTCTCTACATCTCACTCACACACTCCCAAATACACATGAGAGAGACCAGTCTGACTCAGGAATGACAGTTGGGACTAGTTTGTCTTGACCAAACGGACGCTGTTGTGAAAGTTTTAGTCTGGAAAAGTCTCCTATCTTTCAGATTGACACATAAAATGAAAAAAAAAAAAATCTTTTTTTTTGTTTCTTCTGTCTCCCAATGTATCCTACCCCTTTTCACGCTGTTCGTTCCAAGTCTCACTCCCAGACATTTAAAGTCTTTTGGTATTTCCTCCAGACATGTTGACATGGACAGGGGCGTATTCATGAAGTTTTATAATGGGGGCCAGAATACATCCTTTGGTGGGAAACTGCAACCTACAGAGATTATTTTAAATTTGATTAGAATGAAAGAGAGAGAAAAGAAAACTCTACAGAACAACATAACATTTCTTTAAAAATATTGGTGCATACGTTTAGACAAGATGAGCTGATTTAGTGTATCCTGTAAGAAATCTATTTATTTACTTAGCCAAACAGTTTTTATTGAAAACTGTGCTGAGCTAAAATTGTGGTTCTGGTGTCATTTGTGGGTGGGGTCAAGAGTGAGTGACAAGTGTAAACCATGGGGCAACTCTTTTAAAATTGACACAAGAAGGAAGCATGTTTGAGCCATGAATTGGTGTTTTCCGCTAAAACAGATCTCAAAAAATTTTTATACAATAAAAAAAAGAAAAGAAAAAAAACTGCTTTTTACAGTCTAAAAGTTTATTAACAAAAAAAGATTGGCTCAATAAACCACAGAAAATGTTAGGATCATTGGTCTCCCCTGGTCCTCTCTTTGTATTACTCTTTATACTAGTTATCACAAATAAAAGTAAATTTAAATTAAAAATGTTCTCATTCTTTAAGTTGATTCCATGATGGATCTAATTTGTGTGTAGAAAAAGAATCATTGTCAGACCAACAAAAAATTTAACAATTAAAAATGTTGTTTACATTTGTTCTAGTTATTAAATAACAGTTTAAATATTCCTAACTAATGCACATATCAGGTATTTCCTGACAGATGCTAAGTGCAGATTTTTGTAAAAGGTTTATCAAGTATGCTTCTGCTGTCTGATGTATTCATAGGCTGAAAATGGTGGGATACTAGGGTTCAGGATTATGCCTTAGAAATTTAACCTCCAATTGCTTCTTCTACCCGATCCGATTCTTAGATTTTTATGATTGCTGTAATCAGATTTCCTCTTTGGCCTGCACATGCTGTCTACAGAGGGTTAAGAAAGTGCTCTCACTTCCTTTTTGCATAAAAAAGGCCTACAATACATAGTTGCTCTTGCAGTATTCATGCAGAGCTTTTTATGGACCACCACGAACTAGACCTCCCTCCTCCCAGTCCCCCGTGTGCTATGTTATTTCTAGCAATGCCTCCAAATGCATTATTAAATCCACATTATGATGAATAATTGATGGGTTTAAAAGATCTACAAGCACATCTCTAACTCAAGGAGGAGGTGGCTCTTTAACATATGTAAATTTCATGACCTACGTCAGAATGCACCTACGCACACACCCATCTTTGCACGCTTGCACACCCATGCATGCGTTTACAGAAAAAGCACCTTGTTCTTGCATGCTCTCAGGACAATATGTGGTGCTTGTAATCCTCCCTGGTACAGCCTCAGAGGGCACCCTGAGAGTGCACTTCTGCATAGGACATTGTGTCTTATCTTTTTCCTGGGAGCACAAAGAAAGTATAGCCTGTAGCATTGCAACAGTGTTTCTTCCTTCTGCTTTTACTAAGAATGTAATAACTTAATACAGGGGGGCACCCTGTTAAAATTAAGAACATTTTGGGTAATTTCAGGGATTTTCCAGCTCAGCAAAATTATTACATTACAGGCCTTAGGCTCTGTGCATCATCTAATTTATTACCATTTTGTCCCACCTCCACACAGACATGCCTTGAGCTGGAGAGGTACCTCCAGAGCGAGCCCTACGTCTCAGCCACTGACCTCAAGTTTGATAACCAGGAGGACCTGTGGAGCAAGTTGATGCTGGCCTGCGGGGACAAGTCAAATGAGTCAGACCCAAAGATTGCCCACATCAAGGAGGAGATGGACAATCAGGACATGCAGCCCCTTGATGTCGGTGGTTTCAACTCCGATGCCAGCAGCGAAGCCTCGGACAGCTCTGAGGAGCTCTCCCCAACCATTGACTTCTCCTCTGCCTCTCTGACTGACATGTTGGGTGACAGTGGAGAAGACTTGGGCTCTGGCATTATCAGCACACCACCTTCCTCTCCTGAGCTCATCAAAGAGGGCTCCGTGGCCCAGGTGTGGAGTTCAATACAGACTGTGCAAAACACACCTGGAAAAATAAGAACTGAGGTCACAGAAAGGTCAGGGGTGGCCAGTGGTGAGGCGTCACCCGATGGGAGGAGGCGAGTGCACAGGTGCCATTTCAACGGATGCAGAAAGGTGTACACCAAGAGCTCACACCTCAAAGCACACCAGCGCACACACACAGGTAAATATACTCTACAATGAAACTTTTGAATAAAGATTTACTTTGTCAAACACTCCCACATAGTTTGAATACTTTTTGAGAAGGAATGCCCTCAACTGTGATCTAATTCAGCCAGTGAAACGTGATGTCTTCCAGAGGGGAGGGGAGGGGAGGTACGAAAGGGGGAGGGTTGCACTCAGAGGATGTGGATCCTAAAACAAATCAACAGATCTCAGATTTCACTATGGGAAAAGACTCAGAGACTTGCCTGTATGCTTTCAATAAAAAAAGAGAAATAGATAGACAAACAGACTGACTGACATTTGCTGGAATTTTGCAAAGAGTTCAGATGTTAGCAGTTTCCTTTGTCACCTCAGACCCCTGCCAGGGTGTTTACAGCTGTGCTGCCTATTAGCAAAGAAAGTTGCATTCCAAGCTTTCTCTCCAACCTTGATGGCCTTATGGATAAAAGCCCTTATAGTCTTTGGAAACTCACTCTGTTTTTCTTTTTTTCTTGAACAGCCTCCCATTATTACATAAGCATTCCTTTTAAAGCAGCTCTGAACAGCAGCATACCACAAATCCAAAGTCTCACAAGGTTGTTTTTCTCCTCGGCTTACAGTAGTCGGCCCATTCCTCTTGGGGATCATACTTTGGCAGATATTAGCATTATATCAGCTTGTGTACTGTTTATATGGCCCATTCAAGAAGGACTTAAAATTGCAAATGTATTCATTAATGGATACTAAACTTTAAGCATCCAAATCAAATTTGTCAATGAAACTGTAATGAGTTACATGATAACTTTTGTACTTTTTGACACAGAACAGTGTAAGTGAATCAATTTATGTAACATTTGATTTTTTTATTTATATATTTTTTCCCTAGGTGAGAAGCCTTACAGGTGTTCGTGGGAGGGTTGTGATTGGCGCTTTGCACGAAGTGATGAACTTACCCGACACTTCAGGAAGCACACTGGAGCAAAGCCATTTAAATGCAATCACTGCGACAGGTGAGGTCATGTTTTTTTTCCATCTTTAAAATCTACAGTGAGCAAAAATATTTTTTATCTTTTTAAAATTTTGTGCTAAGCACTCATTCATTAACAAAGATTAGCAAGGGGTCTTAAACTAAGAAGTGGGGTAAATAAAGGTCGAGAGCACACTTTAATGTTCCTTGACTCTTTAAAGTTTGATGACTCTCAAAATCTGTTTTTTCATTCACAGTGAATTAATTTCATCTGTATTAAAAAGCAACACATTTTCTGCAATTCTATGTAAGCTACATGTAGTGGAAAATCAAAATCTGAATTTCTGAAATTGCTCCTAGATTCTAATCATAGATAACTCTGCTGTTTACCTTACCTTATAAGACAGCCAGTTTTAAAATTTTTGACTGTGTTTCAGCCTTGAGATGATATAATATGACAAAAAAGTAGCAGTAGTAGTAGAAGTAGTAAAGTAGCATTTATAAATATGCATACAGATATATCTGCATATTTTGTTTTAATATTTTAAGTTAAGCATATTAACCCGTTTAGTCATACTGGAAAACTTTGATCATCAGCTATGCTTAAACCAAAACCTAAATTTGCAAACTGTATTGTTAACTTGCGTGCGGCCAAATTAATATGTCATCTTTTATAAATATTGGCTTTTTTTAACAGTTTTATGATGGTACACCAAAGCAAAAACCTAATCTTGCCCTTCCAACAGCTTTATTTATATTTATATGTTGTTTTTTCTTTTGTTTTTTGTCTCTGCTAGGTGTTTTTCCCGTTCGGACCACCTGGCGTTGCACATGAAGAGGCACATCTAAGATGGCCTACATGTTGAGTGCTCTGAGGGATGAGTCTGGTTTATTGTCCCGACCAATTGGGGATCAGCAAGGCCGGTGTGTCCTGGGAGCATTAACAGGGGCACCGCTGTGTTCCAGTCAGTGGAGAGACATGAAGCAACACAGGCTATTATTTGCACCATACTTTGTGCCTCCAACACCTCGCTGTGGTGATTGCTCTTGAAAGGCTTTTACGGCAAAGCAGGGGGTGAAAGAGAAGATGGGAAAGATCTTGGCTGGAGTTGATGGGAAGATGGTGTTAAAGGCTTTTTTCAGTTTTTTTTTTTCCTGGAAGTTTATGGGACTCCAGGAGTGGGGGTACAATTCCTCCAATGACCGTGTGCTTGCCTGTATGCATGGGAGTCTGAGTGCCTGTGACTGGATGCCTGTGCTGGCTTTACAGAGCAGGTGGAGCTTGCAACTGAATTACATTGAAAGGGTGATGGTATATAATGGCAGTTTTCTTTAAAGGGGAGGGAAGGGAGGAAAGGGGGAGAGAGGATGACTTGATGTCTCTGTAAGAATGAATGCAAGTAAAGAAGTCTGTCTCCATTGGTCTTATTGGGAGGGTGTTTTGTTTAGTGCAGCTATTAAATGTGCAATGTATTACGTGGCCTGTCTCACAACACACACGTTATAAAGCTCATTTTGTTGTCCATCGTGTAAGCCTTGTATCCAAAAAGACAAAAACAAACAAAAAAAACTATAGTACACTAACAGTTATGGCCATTATAACAGCCATTGCATGGGATCTGAGGATGTCTTGCTCACTTGTGTGCGTAAAGGACGACAAAATTCCAGTTAAGTGCAGCTACTCATGTTACTCAGTATCAAAAAACTATTAAAAACATAAGGCAGTCATTTTTGTCATTTTAAATTAGGAATACCACTATTGCTTAGCAACTATATGGGTTGAGGTATATTTCTTCCCTGTTTTCTTAAACTTCGTTTTCTATTCAGTTCTGTCTGTAAATGCACTGTTGACCTTACTGATGCCTTATGTAAGTGGCCTTGTCCTGTAAGAAAGATCACTCCCTCACAAAACGACCATTGCTAATGCAATAGCGCGTTTACTGAAAAGCTTTATAAAGGCTCTTATCTATAATTTTGCACCTGTTTTTGTTTTTTCTTATTAGATTTTTCCAAACTCAGAACAAGTATAAAAAGTACTATCTACAGTATATCAGCTTAGAAATAACTGCCGTTGTTCCATATGTCGTTTCTTTTTCTTGGTTATAATAGAACAAATTATATTCTAAGTGATTTTAATGTTAGACGGAAACCGCAAGGACATTGGGAAAAAAAATAAAATCACATTTATTGTGGTTTACTACTATGTAGTATAAGACAATGTGGATGCACTGCAGATACACTGTAAGCTGCTTTCAAAGGTACAGAGCCTAGGAAACATGTTCTCGTGAAATGTGTATTTGGTCTCATAAGCACTATGGAGGTGGGATTTACAGGAAACACAGGGCAGTTTGTAATAGCTGATGCGTTATCTGTTTAAAAAAAAATAATAAAAACGCCCTATGAAATGATGACAGTCGTCTTATTCACAAGTTAATTATGTATGTTTTGTCTCACTTTGCTCCCAATGTGAGTCAGTATTTTTCCTCAGTCCCAGTTCAAACAACTCTTAATCTGACTAAACGGTACCAAGACCAGTCTAACCAGTTCAGCTGTGCTGCACTTCAGGTCAATGGGTTTCTGTCTCTAAAGTGGAGACTGGGACCAGACATTTTTGCTTTCACCAGCTTCACTTTTTGCACGTTCAAACTTCAGTTAAAGGTTGTTTTTTTTTGCAGATGATTTCATCCACTTTTGCCAACTGACACAAAGTTTCTCCTGGATAATAAAAAGAAATAAAGTGTTAAAAATAAACTTCATTCCTTTTGTATCTTCATATCACTCAGCATCACAGGTAGCCTTGTAATAAATTTTTGCAAGGTTTCCTGTTGTAGAGTAACTAAAATGCGTTAATAATGCTTCTTTTTTACACTGAGAAATGTCAAGAAATGCAAAGATGCATTTATTGTTGAAAGGATGTTTTGTAAGAAAGCATATATTTTGAAAGGGTATGGGACCAAAAGCAAGCGCAGTGAGTCATTTCTAAATAAAACAGAATTAAGGCTGAAAAATTACTGTAAAATAGATGCACTCCATTTTTGTTTTCATTTGTGTAACACTTGAGTTATGGGAGAAACATTAAGATTAAGCAATGCACATTATTAAATGGCATTATAGCACCTACACCTGTGGCCTGTCATTTTTCAAGAGAAAAAAAAAAAGCAACTTTATAGATGTGAATTTTTTTGGACACTTGAAATGTTATCATCTTGCATTTTGGTGCCCATATGGTTTTAATGAAAAATTGTTATTTACTTCTAAATTCTTTATCTTAACTTTTCAGAGACTTGCAAATATACCCTGTCTTTAGCTAGAAAAAAAAATACTTTATTGGATAAACATGGAAAATATGAGGCTCTATTTTTGGTTGTTTTATGGTATAACAGGATTTTTTTCATTTGGAATTGTTTTGTAAAATAGTTTCTGTATGAATGTATTTTTTATTGAAAAATGGATAAAAGACTTTATTGGTTCTACATGTGTCTGATATTCTTTTTTCTGCTCTCCTTGTCAAAAGTGTCAAATATGATTAGAGCTTTTATGGTATATTCAATAGTTGATCATATATGGGGTTATTTTTGCCTCCCTCTAATCACCTACAGTATAGATGTTTAACATTAGGGTCAGCTACAGAACTGGATAAACTAGTAGTGGTTAAGGTACCAGTGTGTAAAGTTTCCTGGAAATCTTCAAATAAATATAAACTAGTTTACTGGGAAAGGGGAACAACTGGATCATCCTTCAATCTGTGTCTACTTAGTGTTAAAACTGTTTGAAATAGAAGGGGAAAACTGCAAAACAAAATGGAAACATAAAAAAACTTGACGCATTTAAAATAAAAGTACAGAGAAGATGCAATGATTTTAAACAACACGTTTTCAGGATTTTTTTATAATCTGCTAATTCTGTATTGCTAAATATAGAAACTAAAAAAAGCATCATTCTTCTTGAACACAATAAAATTTTACATGTATTAAGTTGCAATATATTCTTTTGGATATTATGCGACATTTAATCAAAAATAGTATAAAGTAATGAAGTGGAAGGGAAATGATTAGTTACTTTAATTTTAAAAAGCAAATGTTCATTTGATTTGTCAGCTCTGCATATCCCAAGACTAATTTCTTTATGAAGAATTTTAGAAAATAGGTCAGGGTCTTTCAAGTTGGAAAAAAATACCATCTAGGAAGATTTTAAAGTTTTGAAGATTTTAATTGATTTTGCCATTGATTATATGTCAGATTAAGTTCTGGACTTTGACTAGGCCATACAACTCCAACTATTCATCTATGTAAACTAAATGGATGATTTTAGTCTGAATTTGCAGTCTTACAAAGAAGTTTAAAATAGATCTCTCTTTCTTTTAGTGATGAGTTTCTTTCTGCCTTTTTTTTTAACAACAGTCTTAATTTTCTTACCTTGCTAGCTAGATGAATTGTCCTGAGATTTGAGAATTCACAAACTCATGAAATACTGCACATCTCGTCAGAAGACAATGGATGCATTATACTGATACAGAAATGTTAGAACAGTAAAATGCAGTGATGTATATGACATCTACCAAAAGCAGAAGGCTGAAGCAAAACAAATATGGCTACAACTGTTTTAGGTGGAATAACCTCTATTTCCTCTTGAAAAACAAGCAAAAGGACATGATTTTATGTCTGTATGGATGGAAAGGTGTTTGCACATTCTTCCCGACCAGATTTGGTAAGTTTAATTTATCAGTTAATGCTGTTAAATCAGGAATGCACCAGGTTGAAAGGAAACACAGGCTATGAAAGGGGTTACTTTAATTACTAAAACTGCATTTATAAAAGCTTTACACATTTAACTAAATTGAAATACTTTGTATTTCACATATATTATTTGTCAGGATGCTGCACTGATAATCCTGTCCCAATTTAAACAATGAAGAACAATATGAGCTCTGCGAAGGAATGCATTTTGTGAGGACAATCTGTTCCTCTTGTTACAGCCAACAGCACAGCGTTTTCATCAAACTCTCCAAAAAATTCATGCAAATGAAGTTGTGCCACAAACAAACCGCTGATAAGAGCTCTGCACACTACAGAGACAAATAGCCTCTTCATCTCCAATTGCAAGTACAAACTGCCTCAGCTTAAACACTGCTCAACCAAGCCCACCGTGCTCCATGCCCCAGAGCTCCTGAATAATTGAAATACTCTCAAGAGACTTTTCTTGTTTTTGTCTGTGTATTAATCATTTTTACTTAAAAAAAAATTTGAAAATTAAAAACGGTGAGACTTTACAAAACTATATTTTTTAATAAGCTTTCCAAACAAGTGTTTTTTTCTTTTTCAACTAACTTTGAAATAGAATAACCTGCATTCTAATAATTATAGTCTCTAAATATTTGGGTAGTGATTTAGGTTTTTTTTTTTTTAGAACTTTTGGTTATCCAATAAACAAAACAAAGACATTTGTATCAATTACAAATTCATGACCGTGAAAGAATCAAATTGACCTTATTGCTTTCCTCCAGAGGTACTGCACTCCCTACTGTGCGCAATTAGAGACAGCCATGGTGGGTTAATTTGGTCAGTGTAGCATAGAAAGTGAATCAGTTTCATTAAAGTAAACCTAAGCTTTAGTGCTTTAAACACTTAAGCAGTTTTAAACCACACCCACCCTATATTCTAATTGTGTAGACATAACAGTCACACTTTATCAAAACACAATTGGGAATCTTAAGTTTGAAAATACCTGGGTTAGTTTGAAAGGGTTTATTTCTATCAAGTTGGCACAATGTTCTATGGTCATACAACTTCAAGAGAACTGTGGGGAGGAATCACTAACAGAATTTTTTACTATCTGTCTAGCCCCATATAAAGTATTTCTGATTCAGAGCTTTTCTATTAGACTGGTTCTTGTCACGTCTTGGTTCTGTTGAGTTTTCCTTTGAGTATTAAGATTTACTTTCCTCCATATTTTCTAGTTTTATTGGTTTATTTCCTTTTTGTTGTGTTTTCTGGATATATTTGAGGTTTTTCTTTGTTGCCCTCTTGTGTTGGTCTCCTTTTCCCTAGCTCCCTTCTCGAATCCTCTCTTCACACCTGCTCCTTATTCGCTCATTAGTCCTGTCTTTGTTCATTCTCCCATATAAACTCTCAGTGCTGCTCCCTCGTCTTTTCCTGGCCCTTCATGCATGTTTTTCCAGGATGTCTCCAAGGTTATAGTTTGTTTCACATTTTTAAGTTGGATTTTTGTATTCCTGCCTCAGTTACCTGTGAGTACTCCATTAAAACTACATCAACTCACCTCTGCCTCCTCGCCTCTGCATTTGGGTCCTCAAAACCTCAACCGAACCCTGACAGTTTTATCCTGAAAGGACTGTGTTAACAAAATACTGCCACTTTTAACTAAGCGTATACTCTTGAATATGTGAATACTCCTAAATGCACCACTCTGGT